ATATATAAACAAAATGTATGGAACAAGAGTAGTACTTGGGAATGATCTAGTAGTTTTTCATTAGTGTTAAGATCTCTCATTTTCTCTTCACAGGTGATTCAGCTATAGTCTTGGCAATTATAAGGTGGTTTGAAGGTCTGAGTCTCCAGATTCTCCTCTGCTTTGCACTAAGCACCCGTGTGCAAGAGGAAACATTATAAAGAATGGAAGTGTATTTGTGCATATTTGGAGTGCACCATTCTGTAGGTAGACTCCAGTCCATCAAGCATGCAGGAGAACCTTGTTTCATCTCTAGACTTAGAACTTGAACTGTCCCTGTACATATCATTATTGTCGAGATGATTCCAAAATTTGTGCCTCTGGCTTTATGCTTCCAATTTGCCTTGTGGAAATTCCTGTAGGAATGTCAAAACTGACTACTCATTTTTGGTTTCTCATACTATTGTTCTCCTTGACATTTTGCCCTACAATCAATTTAATGTTGAATAAGCTTTGTAAAGGAGCCCAGAACTTCATGGCTGCCAAGGGCTTATGAAGTAATCTGTCTAGTGTTTGTGAACATTGGCAAAGTGCCTGATCCTAAATATTTTGTGGCTTTGGGTTTTCTGTTGCCAAATTATTTATAGCCGCCACTGTAACATGAAGTTGACCTAAGATAATAAACATGGGAATGCGCTGTATTCAAATAAAACTATTAAATAGATGGCAGGCATAAAGGTAATTATTTTCCTAATTTTCTTGTTTTAAATCTTTATTTTTAGCTGCAGGGAACTGAACTCAGGGCTCTGCACATGCTAGGCAAGTGCTCTCCCATTGACCCACATCCCTAACTCCAAATTAGTTCTTGATAGATCAAATACTAGCTTTTGCCTCTTAACTTCAATGTTGAATATATTACTTCTTCAAAAACTATTTACCATATTTAGCAACCCATCTTTGATTCTAACATCCCTTTGCCAGGACAAAGAGCTGACAACAAATTACTTATAATCACCAGTTTTCTTTGAAGCCAGATATTGCACATAGTGCCACACAATTTACTTTGTGGTAATTTATCATGGCATTTCCCCTACATTTTAGCCAACTTCATTAATTTAATATTTAAAGCATTGGCTTTCACCTGGTAGATTGTTTCTGTCCCACAAAAGATTACAAAGAGACTCATTAAATGAAGAGGACAAAGTAGAATGACTTTGTGGAAGTGGGTGGGTAGAAAAGAAGCCCTGCCCCCAGTTTAACGCCCTCTCTCCTGCATCCCCTCCCTTGCTGTACCCTCTAGGGAAACAGTAGCCTCCAACTTCTTTGATCAACAACCTATTAGATTTTGAGCCATTTATTTACCCTTCCCACCTCTGTATACTAATAATCTTAGTATTAGGAAATGCTGAAGATTTAGCACACATTAGGATGAGGTTAATCCTGAATAATAATGGATGTGAGTCAATTTTCTTATACTTTTTCCGGAGAAGTTAGAGTATTATTGGCTGACTCACTGCATAATCTGGTAGCTGCCACTGAGTTTATTTTGAAACAGAACTGATGAACTCTAAACAGAGGCACTACGCTTTTCTTACTGCTCATTATGCTTGCTTTTATTAAGTATAGTGTGTGTATGCCTGTGCAAGCCAGTATATGTGTACACACATGCATGCATGTATGCATAAAAGACACATGTCTCCACATGTGTCGAAGGACAAAGGACAACCTGAGGCAGTTGGTTTTCCTCTTTTAACCATGTGGGTCCTAGGGATCAAACTCAGGTAGTCCAGCCTGGTGGTAAGCACCTTTACTTGTTGAGCTATTCACTGTTTCCTATGCTTAACATGTTTTTGCAGTAATCTTTGTAAAGTCACATGTGACTTAATTTGGTTGCAATAGGAAAACAGACTCTACAAAGCCGCTAAACTGGATATATACAGAATCTCCAACATCAATGGAGAGCAAACAGCCCAGTGAGAGTGCCTGTCCCTTTGCCATACTATGGAGCCTTCCCACCTTTTTGTTGTTGTTGATTTTTGTTAGTTTATTGCAAATGACATGTGACATCAAACAAGCTGAAGGAAAAATGCCAGATACTCATGTTTGATAATAGTAGTTCTATTCTGTGTTTGGAGGGTACCACTGGGAAACATCACTGGATTTCAACCAATGGGAGAAAACTACTCTGAATAATGGGAAGGGTCAACATCTACTTTTCAGTTAGTTTCTTCTCCTGGCCAAATCTTTAAATGCCGATGCCACAACACAAAGCACAGCAGACAACCTATAACTAAGCCAGACTTTGTTATGACATTCTGGGAGTCAGGGCAGCTAACATAAAGAGCAAACATCCTAATGGTTACCTGCAAGTCATTTTGTGGGTTCCAGTCTGAATCAAATATGATGCAGGTATCAGCAGCTGTAAGATTGATCCCCAGGCCTCCTGCTCTGGTGCACAGAAGAAAGACAAAGCGGTCTGAATCTGGCTTACAGAACCGGTCGATGGCTGCCTGGCGCAGGTTTCCCCGTACTCGCCCATCAATTCGCTCATAGGTGTATCTGAGGGACCCAAATGAATGAAAGCCCAGGTGTTAATCATGGTTCAAAGAACAAACAATCAGGAAGCTACTGTCCAATGGTCTCAAATCCTTCATATGACAACAGTCTTTAAGGAATCCCACCCCCTACAGAAGAAGCAAAGCAGATTAAAATTCATCGGAAAATGTCTTCCTTGTGAAATGATTAAAAAGCAAAACAAAAAGCCAGTCATAAATTAAGGATGACTACAAGACTTAAAAATCACAAAGTATTGATCCCCAATAAGTTGTCCAAATAACTTATTCTCACGAATTTCCCAGCTTCTACTTGCAGAGAATATCATCCTACAGTTTTCCTGGCAGAAAAGCAGATGTTAAGTCTCAACTACGGATGTCAGCAGTGTGCATAACTGAAGCTCAGAGTTCACTTCAGTTTCCTGGTGCTCAGGGTAACAGGAAGTGGTAAGGAGCCTGCACTGTCAGACCTGGACTATGAAATGGCCATTTCCACTCTGTCAGTTTCTCAAAATGTTAGAGGCACAGAGCAAACCTCCATGTGTACAGCCAATCTTAGAAAGGGTTTCTAAGATGTGCTAGGGACAGGAAGACAAAGAACAAGAAGAGGACAATGGAGTGAGGTGCAATGGCACCTGATGACAGACAGGAAAGATCTGGACAGCATGGTGGGGTAAAAACATAAAGAACAGGAAATGAAGACATTCAAGGGACATATTGCTACTAACCATTCAGAAAACAAAACAAAACAAAGGTATATTTATGTTGGATGCCATGAAATAACAGAGTAGTAAGGCTTAATAGCAATCATATTTCTACTGTATCCTTTTATATCCTTCCTATTTACTCCACTGACAATGGTTTCCAGTGACAAGTGAATTTACAGGGTCAAGTTACTCTGGCACCAAAGCTGACAAAAAATTGATAGTCAAGTAGAAAGAAGTACTAAGAACGTTCTGAGAAAAAGACTGTGCCTGGGGGGGTCAGTGGTTGGAGCACTAGCTGCTCATGCACAGGACCCGGGTTTGATTCTTAGCACCTACATGGTGGTTCACAACCATCTGTAACTTCAGTTCTGGGGTGTCTGACATCATCTTCAGACCTCCTTGGGCACCAGTCATGCACATAGCACACAGACAAGCTTGCAGGCAAAACATCCGTAGACTCTGAAGACCCAGAAAACATACCTAAGTATCAAAATGGTGTGATGAAGCAATGTTGCAATCTTTACTAGGCTCTGTGCGATGGGGCAGAAGCAGCACAGGACTTAGAGTGAGAAGACAAGGTTGGGATTCTACTAAACAATAGTTTCCTTGCCTTCTATGTCAATGAGCAATGCTACAGGAACAGAGAATGGGGTCTTATGACAAGACACCCTTGAGCATCAAAGAGGAGCCAGAGGCCTGTGGAGCATAGTGAGGTTGGAATTGGCACAGCATTCGGGAAGGAAGAAATCAACAAATAGGGATGACAAAGCTTGGCCATCACCTGGGGAGGCATGGCAAGGGTCGGTGGTCTCCATCAAGTAGAAGGCATTTTGGCAGCTATAATGTAACAATAGTTTTAAGAATGGTATGTGTGCAGAACAGCAGAGATAATGTTCTCACTCTGTCACTTGTTCAGTTCTGAAGGAGTGCTCTCAAAGAACAAACAACTAAGAATGGATTATCTGCTCTGCTTTTTTGTTCCTTTGTTTTTTGCTTTTGGTTTTTCGAGACAGGGTTTCTCTGTGTAGCTTTGGAGCCTGTCCTGGAACTCACTCTGTAGACCAGGCTGGCCTCGAACTCACAGAGATCCACCTG